CTTGTCAAGGGCATTTAACTTATTCATGAGGAAAGGAAAGACAACTGAGAGAACTTTCACATTTTCGTTCACCTCATATTGTTTTTTTTTTTTTTGCTCCTTCTTCTTCTTCTATTCTTTCAATTGTGCAAAGTTAAGCTAACGAAAGTTTACAAATTTGAGAAAACTATTGATGTCCATGTGCATATATTTGAAGAGCCTGTAAGCGTATTGTGAACATACACGTTCCTGTCTGCATATAGATATCATGCATATTTAATACAGTCATGCATAGTTAACTGACTTAGACTTGAGCTCGTGTTGACAAGAATATTTATTGTATGAAAATATAAGTAGAGTGAACTATTGAATGCTACAAATAATATATTCAAATTACGAGTGCTTTTAAATGAAATTCGAGAAATCGTTAGTAATGCTGAGAAAAATTCCTATTTACATTTAAAAGTATACTTTTCAAAACAAATGTATATTTTCATATAAAAAATATATTTTTAAATTTCCATTGCTAGTTTTCTCAGCATCATTTAGTTTAGTTAAAAATGCTGAATTTTATAAAAAAAAAAGTATATACTGCTGAAATGAATATTCTTTTAAATTTAAATATTTTGGATTTGTTAATAATTAAATATTAAATATTTAATTTTATATAAACATAAAAATAATATATTTTATTTCTTTTATTGTGATTTATTGATCTCAAGCATTTAAAAATAAAAATACATTAATAAGCATTTCGTTTATAGCAAAAATAAATATAGTATAAAAATATAAAATATTTTATTTATTTCATCGTGATTTATCACCCTTGAATATGAAATATAAATATTTTACTTATCATTTATAACAAATAGAAATATTTTTATATAATAAAAAATAATATAAAACACTATAAATATAAAAGTAGTACCATAAAAAAAATTGTCTGGATACGTTTAATAATTATATGGATTAGAAAAAAATGGAAAAATATACCTAAAATGAGCTTTGTTAGCTGAACATAAATAGTTGGCTAAGTCGAGTGCAGTGGTATTAAGACAATGAATCACATCGCAGATTTCCTTATTAAATTCGAATGAAAATATAAAAATGTAATATATTTTATATTATAATAAGGGATGCCACATTTAACGCATTTTCTGTAAGTTATACTTCTAAAATTATATTATTATTACTATAAATCACATTTCTGATTGGGAAGACAGATAAAAAAATAAAGAAATATTCATTTGATATTAGAATATACTATATTTATATTTTTAATTTATTTTACTTAAATTATAATTATTATATTTTATAATTTTATGCAATGACTTGGTCTATTTTTCAGCTCAAATCATTCATCAGCGTCCATTGTAGCATATGAGGTGTATTGGCCTTACCACCCCGCGACAGGTAATAGCAGATGGATTTACACACATACATGCACACCCACACACACATATATATGCTAAGTGTGTTAGTGTGTGCTGCTGCTCAACACTCGTTTGCCCGCATAGAGTGCGACGACTAAATTAACTGACACTGTGACGTCATCGTATGTCTTCGGGCCGCGGCTTATTGATATATAGAGAAACTATAAGAAATTCATTTTTATACACATAGGAGGAACAAGTGTCAGGCATTTAAGCGTCAGCATAGCGCTTAGTGCTCAGTGCTCAGTGCTCAGTGCTCAAGTGCCGCTGGCGCCAAAAAATTTGACCCACTTAGTGGAAGGCCAACAACAAGAAATGGCTAAAACATGAGCCGTGCCATTTGCCAGCCGGCAGAGCCATTGCATGTGGCTCGGCACTTAACTCAATTTGCAATGTAGCTGTCGTCTTTGTTGATGTTGGTATTGTTATTGCTGTTGTTGTTGTTGTTGTTGTTGTTGTATTTACCGCCAAGTGCAGCAGAACGAAATTGCTGGCATATTACGAACGACACTAGCGTATTGTTATTATTGCTGGTGGTGCTGCCATCTCCAATGGCGTTGTTGTTGCGGCTTGTGGCAGCCACGCCAAAGTCGTCTTGACTGTGTCATCAAAATCGAATTGAAATGAAACCACAATTGAAATGTCAGACAAACGTTGAGAAACATTTTTTTTTTTTTTTCGATTTTTCTTTTTACTTTTGCTGGTTTTTTGGACTCTGACAGACGGTATATGGCAGCTGGCAACAGCAGCAGCAGCAGGCAGGCAGGCAGGCAGGCAGGCAGATAGTCGACCCACATAAAATTCAATTCACATTGAAGTTTTCAGAGCGCACTGACTACAAGAAGAGCAGCAGCCGCACCCACAGCCACAGCTACAGCCTGTAGTGGCAGCCGTGGCAATGGCAGCCGTGGAAATCGTGCACGCGCCCATTGCGCGCCATTTTTCGAACCGATGCCTTCAATGGAATCATTGAACTGCCATCGCCTGCTGCGCGCGAGCACAAGGCGCAACAGGAGACGACGCCATGACCAGACAAACGCACACACACACACAGACACACATATGCTGTTAAAAACAATACAAACAGCAGGTGGCTGGCATTATTTGTGGGCCCTTTTGCCGGCATCGCCTACAAAGCTATCAGCTCCTGGCCAGCATGAATTTCGCTGTGCAGTCGGCATTGCCTTCCACTATGTACGTGTCAATAGTTTGGCGCCACCTTCTGACGTGATGTGTGTAAGTGTGTGGGTGTGGGTGTGGGTGTGTGTGCATGTGTATGTGTGAATGCATAAAACAGTCATTAGAAGAGTTTGTCAAATGAGCTGCGAAAAACTGTTGAGGACAAATTGAATTCCAGTCACGTGCAGACAATGACGCACCAATCATCCTCTAAAGTACATTTAATAGCAAAAAATAAGTAAAAGAACTAGAGATGAATAGTACGACGCAGAGCAAATACTCTATGCAGACAAATGAATTTTAGTCTTTTGCTAAAAACTTTGCAAGCCTTAGGACCAGTTGCAAAAAAGCGAAATTTTTTCTCATTTGAATGGCATTTTATAGTTAAAATACCCTTTGAAAGGGTATCAACACATATTTATGGCAGAGCAGGCGATGGCGAGACGAAAGCCATTAGCTATTGGCCAGCTGTAGCAGCTGCATGATACATTATCAAATTGCGGAAGGCAAATGTCGAAGCAGGAAATCGAAATTGAATTTGCCGAGTAATCGCAAACGCAGTGGCAGTGGCAATCATAATCCCAATCGCTTTGCCCGAGCCCAGAGAGTGTGTAAAAAGTGAGGCGAACTGGCGGAGCTAAGCCAAGCGCCATGGAGCGGAGACGTAGGCCGTGGTGAGTTTCCCTTTGAGGGTCTCACAAATGCAAAGAGCGAAAAGCAAAAGGCAAGAGCGAGTGCCGACATCAAAACAAAGAAACCCACGCCGCTTAGCCCGAAAACTCGTTGAAGTTCTAGTAGAAAAAGCAAAAAAAAATAAAAACAACAACAACAAAAATACCCCATAATATAACGCATGCTTGGCGCTCTGAATGACTGAGGCAAAGTTCGCGAAGATTCAACAAATGACAGAACCCACGGGCCAAGCAACAGAGCGCCGAGAGTAAAAGACGTGGGAGTGAGGGAGCGAGGAAGCGTGGGAGCATGGAAAGTAGCGGGAACGAGAACAGCTTCAGCCAGCCAGCAAAAAGCGTAAGCGCTTTGTGCCTCAGTGACTGGGTCTGTATTTGACATGCGTATATGTGTGTGTGCGTGGGTGAGTATGTATGTGTGAGTGTGTGTGTGTGTGCGGTTTGGTGTGAGCGCAAATTACAGACTAACAAGTGGTCGTTGACTGGCAAGCCAGCGAGGCAGACAGCCCCAGCCACGACAGTTGATTTGATTTGACAGCAAGACATGACATTTGGGTAACAGACAGTCAGCCAGCCAGTCAACCAGCCAGCCAGCCAACCAGCTAGGCAGCTAGGCGCAATTGGAGTGAAGTGAAGCTGAAGAAATGCCACGAGTGCTGCCTCAGCGGATGCCCCAAATGATGGGCAGAGATGTCGCAGCTGCTTCTGCTGCTACTACTGCTGCTGCTGCTCCTGCTCCTGCTGTTGCTTCTGCTCCTGCTGCTCCTGCCGATGCTGCTGCTGGCAAGTGCAACTAACCGCAAGCCTTCTGAAAGCTACACCCGCGTGCCCATATAATGAAGATGGATATCTGCGACCAAGCGACTAGCCTAACAATGGGATGTAGCACTCGGAAAGGGAAATGAATAGCAGGACATGGGCACGAAAAGCCACACCAGTGCAAAAAAAAAAAAAAAAAAAAAAATGGAAAATTCGTTGCCTTGACCCATGTAGCTTAGTCTAGGATATATGTGTATGCATGTATGTACATATATGGTTAATGATAATCAATTTATATTTTAGCAACAAATAGGAACACCCAACAGCTGTTGCGAATTTTGTGCGGCAGAATCACAACAAAAATAGGTAAAATTCGTTATCTATTTGGGAAGCAAATCAAATTTGATTGCAATTTCTTTTATTTATTCTTATTTGCTATCAATTGATAATTTAATAAATAAGAAGAAAATCAAACAATAACAAGACGTAGTATTATATATCACCTGATTTTCTCTTATAAGCCCTTGGGAATGTTTTTAGCTTTTATATATATATTTTTTAATTTGTATTTATTTTCTTTTTTTTTTAATTTGATACATATATATATTTTATTTTATTTTTTTATATATATTTTTTTATTTACTATTTTCATTTAATAAATATAATAAAATAGTAGTTTTAATTATTCAAATATATTTTGAATAATTTTTTTATTATTATAATATTATATTTATTTTGTATTTATGTCTTAGTTTATTACATTTTTTATTTTTTAATTATAAAGTTCTCAAACAATGCTGCGCAATATGTATTAATGTTGTCGCAGACTGAACTATTTTCTCGCAGTGTACTGCTGCGGGAGTAAGCACACATAATGTGCATAAATATATTTACAGTTATGAATAGTCGTATATCAATATGCGTGGCAAACAGCTAAACGACTCGGCATAACTTAGCTCACCTCTTTTGTGTTTCACGCTATGTGCGGATAGTTGTTGTTGTTGTTGTTGGTTTTGTTGCTATTGTCGCTTGTGGTTGCTGTCACGGCGAGCTGCAGTTGCAAGCGCTAGTTGGCGGTTAACGGAGCCTGGAGTGGGTCAGGTGGGTTGAATGGATTTTATACTGTTTGTGTTTGCTCGACTGCGCTCTTCTCGTAGGTGGGCGGGTGGCTGAGGTCGGACGCTAAGGGGCGGAGTAAGGCAAGAATGTAGGCGCTCGGCCTGATTGCTGGCAATGTCGTTGGCCGTGTGAGAATATCGCAGATGACTACGGCAATGACGACAGCGTCGTAGCTTACCTACGCTTCACCAGTCAGCCTGACGTGCTGAAAAGTCACTTTCGAGTGTTTTCACTTTCCTTGTGGCTGCCTGACTGCGTGCATGTTGCACGTGCGCGTTGACGTTGGCGCCGCTGCTGCTGCTGCTGGTACTGTTGGTGGTGCTGGCGCTAACGTTGGCTCTGCTGCCAGCCAAGTGCCACTTGGCAGCGTTGTAAGTATGAATTTTGTGCACAGGTGCACACACACAGATAAGCGACACGAGCTACAGCTGCAGCCTTGAAACAATGCGAGCCTGTTGTTAGTGCGATTTAAGACAGACAATGACTACCCATTCGAGGCACTCGAAAAGTTTGCAGTTTGTGTTTTTTTAATTTGCCTCGTCTCTGCCTAGCATAAACTGTGCAGGACGCGTCGCGTTGGCGTCGCTGGCTTCACACAGAGTTTTGGGTGCATTTAGTTGGAATTGAGTTGAGTAATTAAGTTCAGTTGCTTGCGTTGAGTGCATAGTTGACTGGCATGCTGACGATGAATGCTAAATTATGCAAGCTCTCGCATATGGCGAAACTGACCCATTAGTACGATGACGTCGACGACGGCGGCGACGCCACATGCTAACATTTCGACAGCGCGGCCGCGGCGGCGTATGAGTAATAACGATGTCGCCTAAAGGGAAATTGATTTGATAACGCGGCTAACTGAGACGGGGGACGGAGACGAGCTCGGATTGGGGAGACCGGAAAACTTGGGTGTTCAATTAACGCGAGCCTATTCAAATCCTGTTGATATTGTTGTTTGTAAATAGTGTCACACTTTCGTTGCTGCTGTTGTTGTTGTTGTTGTTGTTGTCAGTTTGGCTTTCTAAGGGGGTATTATTTATTAAACAAGTCGAATGTTTTGCCACGCGCCACGTAGCACGTTGTCGTAGGCACCAATACCAATGCGTTCGACTCTCGCGTGCTCTCACTCAAAGCACTCACACACACAGACACACGCACACCTTTGCCAAAGAGCGTAGCATAGGACGCGTTCCTGTCGTATATCTTGGCCGATGCCGTAATTTCCACTGCCCGCAGAGAGCTGTAGCTGTGGCTCAACTGGTAATTGGCCAACGCACTTGGATGGCAATACACTTGACCTATCACTGGCAATAATTTGAGAGAATTCGCGTTTAATTTGGTAATTTTTAGAATTTATTTTTATTGTCACGCTTTGTGCAGCGTGCTAACCGCGTTGATTTGTTCGCACCTTGACTATTCGTTACTAAACTCAACTCACAGCGAGAGTTGCCCACAGGCCAAGAGCGCAGCGCACACTCGTTGATTTCTCGGCTGTGTGGTGAGTTCCTGCCGCGTGAGAGCGTGTGCCAGTCGAACGCCACAACAGCTGTTGGCGGCATATACGAAATTCAAAAAGGACTCGACTCGAGTTGAGACTGAACACTGAGCATTGCCTGTAAATAGGTAAATATTTGCCAAATTGTTGCAATTCGTATGTAAACTTATCATATCAACTGTTGTGTATAAATATTATATTGTCTGGAAATCGAAAAAATGTCTGCCAATTGCCTGAAGAGCGTATTCGCGCACGCTCTTTGCGATTCACGCTCTCGCGCCTTTTCGACTCTGCTCTCTCTCTCGCTCTCGCTCTCACTCTGACAGCACAGCTGTCTAAGCGCCAAGAAGCCTTGCTGAGGGAATACACATGTGTGTGTGCGTGGGAGTATGTGTCACTGTATGTGTGAGTGTCTGTGTGTGTGTTTGGCATGGAAATCTGTTGCATGAACGCGATTTGTTGTCCTCTTTATCTCAGCTGAGTGTCGCCCAAGTGTCAGTAGTGCTTCTTGCAACATAAATTACTTCGTGGCTTCCCAGCCGATGACCACTCAAAGCAACAACTATCCAAAATTGGCCAATATAAAAGGGAATCGAGATGCAGCAACAGCAAAAGCAGAGATCCAAAGAGAAAAGTAAACAGAGATCGACTATGACAACACAGTGCAGTATAAAGGCAGATAAACACACATTTGCGCGCACACACACTTATACACACACACACACTCATACTAACACATACTCGCAAAGCCAAGCCGGATATGGAGTGTCTGGCAGTCAAGCGTTTCTCTGGATTTACGTAACTATTGCTGAGCTCTAGATGACTTTTGTTGTTGTTGTTGTTGTTGTTGTTATTGTTATTGTTATTGTTATTATTATTTATGCTGTTATTTCTGCTTTTGCTGTTGCTTATCTGTGTGGGTGTGTGTGTGTGTCCTTCGACTCAATGCCAACACAAGAAACAAGTAAGAAAGCTCTAGTCGAGACTGCTCGACTACGAGATCCCCTGAACCCTTGGAGCAATAGATATTTCAATACTTTTTCGCGACTTTCAGCTTACACAAAAACACGCACACACACACACACACACACACGCACGTACGCACACACAGGTATACATACACACACACGCATACAGACACACATACACACACACACGCATACAGACACAAACGCATACACACACACACATACATACAAGCAACCACGCATAAACACGCATGGGCTGCAGTGTGCGCTTACTATGAGAACTTAATTGTTTAATAACTTTTTTATGGACGTACGATCTTTATGAAACTTTTAGATTATGATTATAACATGAATATGCATGTAATTGCCAAAGCACAAGTCTCTAGTATTTGAAATACGCTTTTTACAAAAGTGAGGGTGAGGGGTGAATTTAGAGGTGGGGGGTAAATTTTAACAAAAACCGAAATTGTATAAATTGCATATAAGCATACATTAAAAATTTGGAGACTCTAGCAATAAAGGTGTAGAAGATATAATTTTATAACTGGGTTTCGATAAGGTTTTTTATCGATAAAAAAGATCGAGATGAGTTATCGATTTTTAATGATAAACTTGATATGCGCGCTGTAATTACGGACATTTTAAAAAAATTTGAAGTCTCTAGCTTTTATATCTTCTGAAATCGACGCGTTCATACATACGGACAGACGGACAGACGGACAGACGGACAGACAGACGGACAGGGCCAAATCAACTCAGCTCGTCACCCTGATCAAGAATATATATACTTTGTGGGGTCTGCCACGCCTCCTTCTCCCTGTTACATACATTTCAACAAAACCATTATACCCTGATTTCCCATTGAAAATGGGTTCAGGGTATAACAAGTGTGTAAGCCACCAAAAATATTTACAATAAAAACAGAAAACAAATGAGCGCTGTTGATATAGTAATACTCGCTTAAAATAGGTATTTAGAGACGTTATGGTTCATTTTGAATATAGTTTATTAAAAGGATATTTTTTAATTTATATTGCGTTATAGTTGTCTGATAATATATTTTGCTTTTCTGTTGCTTCAACAATTTTTTTAAATTTTTTATACCCTGAACCCATTTTCAATGGGAAATCAGGGTATAATGGTTTTGTTGATATGTATGTAACAGGCAGAAGGAGGCGTGGCAGACCCCACAAAGTATATATATTCTTGATCAGGGCGACGAGCTGAGTTGATTTGGCCCTGTCCGTCTGTCTGTCCGTCTGTCCGTCTGTCCGTCCGTCCGTCTGTCCGTCTGTCCGTATGTATGAACGCGTCGATTTCAGAAGATATAAGAGCTAGAGACTTTAAATTTTGTTTAAAATGTTCGTAATTACAGCGCGCATATCAAGTTTATCATTAAAAATCGATAACTCATCCCGATCTTTTTTATCGATAAAAAACCTTATCGAAAACCAGTTATAAAATTATATCTTCTGCACCTTTATTGCTAGAGTCTCCAAATTTTTAATGTATGCTTATATGCAATTTATACAATTTCGGTTTTTGTTAAAATTTACCCCCCACCCTTAAATTCATCCCCTCACCCTCACTTTTGTAAAATGCTTATTTCAAATACTAGAGTCTTGTGCTTTGGCAATTACATGCATATCCATGTCATAATCATAATCTGAAAGTTTCATGAAGATCGTACGTCCACAAAAAAGTTATTAAGCAATTAAGTTCTCATAGTAAGCGCACACTGCAGCCCATGCGTGTTTATGCGTGGTTGCTTGTATGTGTATGTGTGTGTGTATGTGTGTGTGTATGTGTGTGTGTGTATGCGTTTGTGTCTGTATGCGTGTGTGTGTGTATGTGTGTCTGTATGCGTGTGTGTGTATGTATACCTGTGTGTGTGTGTGTGCGTGTGTGTGTGTGTGTGTGTGTGTGTGTTTCTTGTGTAAGCTGAAAGTCGCGAAAAAGTATTGAAATATCTATTGCTCCAAGGGTTCAGGGGATCTCGTAGTCGAGCAGTCTCGACTAGAGCTTTCTTACTTGTTTTTTTTAAAGTTTATTAAGCCATACGGGGTACTCCAGTAACCCCTTTGTGAACTTATTATCTATTAATTCTGCTCATTTGGGCGCGCCGGCAAACTTACGTCGCAGCTGTCGCAACTTCAATCATAAATCATTGAAATATTTCTAACTCTAAAACTAAAAATACAAATATTTGAAAATTATAAACCTACAGAAAATAAATATAAATAATATTCATAAAATAAAACAAATTGTTTTCCCAATAAAAAATATTTAATACTCCTACTCTAAGAAGTATTCCTTCAACAACTCAGAGACGCGCAGCAAAAATTACACTGCATAAAGCCAATATTCTTGATTCAGCTGATGGAAGAATATGTATGTATGTATGTACATATGTATAAGGAAATGCGTCACTAACTGCTGCTGGCGCCATCTATCGGTGGTTGGCGCCCGCAATTTAATTGAATCCCGCAAGCTGTTCCATTTATACTAAATTGATTTCGGTCTTTGTGCAATAACCGTTAGCACAAAGCACATTACCCGTTGTGCGTCATCAAAGCGATCCGTATGGCGCTGCAGGAAGCCTGTCGCATGTCAGTGGCTCCAAAGGAATGTGTGCTCAATATTCAACTGACTCGCCGTCAATAGTTCCAGCTGCTACCTTGACTACGTTCTAACGTGGCTATTAGACACGTATTAAATGTAGTTTTTAGCAATTGCAAAACGTTGCACATTCCAATTTGCAAGTTGCACGCAACATGCCATCAGCTGCCTGGACGCAATACACTCAATCGAAAAATGCAAAAGGCGCTCGGGCAAGCTTAAAGTTTTCAAACACTTTCATACTTTTCAAGCGCAACTTTACAAGCTGCTTACAACAAATACAAACCAACAAGCTGCAACAATTAGTAAGTGGCAGTGGCGCTGATACGCAGGGCACAAATATTTGCAGCTATTCAATGCGCATGTGGGAGATTCCGATTTCATTTATAAAGGACTATAATAAAAGAAGAAAATCGAATTGCAAAGTCAATTAAAATGTATAATTCCAATGAGTTGATTCAGTTTGGAAGAGTCATTTGATAATGGAGAGAGCTTCAACAGAAACCATCTGCAAGTCTTTGCAGCTCTTAACTATAGAAATGTAAACCATTGTGACTTCAGCTTACAATAAATATCCTAGTCGATGATGAAATACCCTAGCTCTAGTTAAGTACTCTTTCAATTAGCACGCGTAGAATTGTATTCGGCTGATTCAATTACCATTTCTCGGCTAGGGAATAAGAGAAGTTTATAATAACTTTATATTTAACTATATATATTAAACAATATAACAGTAATGATGAAATGTTTACAAGCAAAATATGTTGATAAAATTTAAATTTCTTCTCCATGTAAGTGATCGAAAAGAAGAGTAAAGTTAACTTTAGGTAATTAGATATTTCTTGTAGCTGTAAAGAAAATGAGATTGGGATTTTGAGAAATCTGACTATGGGCTTTTGGAAAAATTATGATAAAGAAATTGTCATGATCTATATATTATAACATATATTCGATAACTCATCCCATTTCCTTCTCATTGATAAAGCTGTTGTCTAATGTCACATTTTAAGCGCAGCTCAAACACCATAAAACAATTCCACTTTCGCTTAACTGTTTTCAGCATGACCTATGTACATATATTCGCATTTGGGTTACGTGGTTCAACTCTTAGTAGCCCCCAAGCATGCACAACTTTTTTACATTTTGAAATAAAAAACCCCACTTTGGCTCTCTTTAAAAATTAAGAGAATAATAATTTGTAGCAAATTTCGCAACGTCAATGGCAAACGGCCCTCAAGGCCCATACAAACGAAAGCCGCAATTAGCTGGAATATCAGGTACATGCAAGGTTGCTAGGCAGAGTGAGGGAGTAGCGCAGGCAGAGAGGCAGCCGTTCAGTCAG